TTGGGGGGGGGGGGCAGTTGGTACCAGGGATTGAACTCGGGTCCTTGAGCTTGCAAGGCAGCCCACTGAACCGCTGAGCTAAATCCCCGGCCCTCTGGCCCTCTATTTTTAATTGAACGTGCAGTGTATATGTCGATAACCCCTGTATATAGGTTTCCTGTAGTGCACTGGGTCCCAAAGGTTGGTGATGAGCTTAGGGATAAAATTCTGCCTCTGATCTGTTTTAAAACTTCTAGTGCCCTCAGACTTTCACTGTAACAGCTTGATTCTTAGATACTGAGTTTTTGTGTGGGTCTTGGGTTAAGCCCGTGGTAAGGACCTGCAGCTCACAGGCGTCTTCCTGTGGGCAGCACCTGCACCACTTGAGTCCTGGAGGCGTCTTCTGAGCGGCTTGGGAGTGTCGGAGGAGGCCCAAACACCGCCGCCAGGAGTTTATTGCTAATCCGTATTACTGAGAGTGACACACGAGAACCCTGATTTGGTCAGTGGTTCTGTTCCTCGGGCTGCATAGAGAAACAGGTGGACCTGAGCAGTCTCCGCTGGACTCCACACCCTAGCTGCACTGTGCTCTTGCTGCCTGCTGGTTCTCTGGTCTTCATTCTGTTGGCTGGGTTATTGTTTATTCTGGATTAGAACCCTCCTTGTTTTACAGCTGCGACTCTGGGTTTCCATTGAAAAGTGCAGTGTAGTCTCCAGGATAAATGGACCGCAGACTTGGGAATGCTGCTGCTTTTGTCTGGGCTGTAGTACTTGCAGCCAGTAGGGAAGAACCTCTGAGATTGGGCCTGCTGAGCTGCTTTCAGATTCTTGTAGCTTAAAAAGTACCTAGTATTACAAAAGTAAAATATAGTTAACATTTTTTCAGTTTTCCTTTCAAAGTTTCCAGCTATAAATATGGAAACATTTCTTATGAAAGCAGTAACTTTTATTGCAACTTTGTCAGCCAAATCCTGGAATGATACATTGTTTTGTTTTTAAACCTATAAACATTCCCAGCAAGTGCTTTGAGAGGTCCCTGTGTGCCCATACCACAGGCAAGTCCTGCCTGGTGGCATTTGGCTTTGGAAATTGGGTGGAGGAAAGAACTTAAGCATTCCTGCATGGTTGTTGAGTGCTCCTGTAAAGGTTTTTTTTTTTCCTCTTAAAGAAGTATTATGAGTAATGTTACTTTTTAAGAGAGCAGGTGGTGGACTTTGTAGCTATTCATAAAACCTAAAGGAATGTGAGGCACTTGCAAAGTGTCCTTGTTCTGGATACTCTTAATAGTAGCCATTTGGACTCAAAAGACTGACAAGCTTGGAGGATGTTTACAGGAATGCAAAATACAGAGTTCTTTTTTCCAGGTTTGCACTCCCAGGTAGGGAGGAGATGTTTGTTCTTCCCATAGTGGCCACCCGCCTTCCTCAGTAACCCAGATACTGTGGCGGCTCCTCCAGACAGGGCTGCACAGGGCTGTGGGAGGAGTGGCCATAGTCAAGGCCATGCCTCAACTGGAGACTGCTTACTCTGCTGCCTGGCACTGTTGGTGTGATCATGAAGATGGCTCAGTCCTTCAGAAGAGAAGGGTTCAGATTGTTGCTTAAATTGCACTTTACATATTTGGTGTTGGGCTAACCATCATTTAGGATGGGTGCGCCAGGGATGCCCCGTGACTGGGTGGAGAGGGGCTTGCTCCTTGCATTTGGGTGTTTCTGCAAAGAGCTGAGTTTAGATGCTGCATGCTTAGGAAAGAGGCCCTGAGAGCTTCACCACTAGCTGTGTTGTAGTCGCTGATTAGAAGCCAGGTTGGCAGGCTTGGGAGTGGGCTCAGGTGTGGTCTGGTGGAGACTGCTGTGGTTATTGAAGTGGGAAGGAAGCACGGCCAGAGGTGCTCCCTGACCTGGTCAGCACTGCTGGAGGTCACGGTGTTCTTTTGGTGCTGGGGTGTGTGGTAGCTTTTTAGCCCGGAGACAAAATACCAGAGGTCTGCAACTTGATGGAGGAGAGGGGTTTGTTTAGGCTTGTGGTTTCAGTCAAGGTTGGCTGGCGCTGAGGCAGAAACAGTGGTGAAAAGGCCTGGTGGAGGAAAGCTGCTCATCAGGGCATCTGGGAAGCAAGAGGGCAGGGCAGGAATTGCGGGCTAGAGACAGACCTGGTGTGAGTCACAGGAGCACTTCCTCCCCCTAGGCCAGGTGGGTTCACCCTCCATGCAGTTAGTGTCCTCCCAGGGTCACCTCGCCAGGAGCCTTTCAACCCAGGTGAGCTGATGATGAACAGGATTGGCTGGATGGATCCCAGCTTTCCTGCTCTTCAATGGCCAAGTAGCTCAAGCCTGCTTTATTTATTGGTGCTGGAAATCGAACTTGAGACCTTGTACTTGCAAGTGTTGGCACCACTGAGGTAAATCCCCGGCCCAAACTTTTTTTAATGCCCTTGTCCTGAGAATTGAACCAAGGGTCTTGCAGTGAGCTATACCCACAGCTGTTTTTGTCTTTTTAGTTTTTTTTCTTTTTAGATAGGGAAGGTCTTGCTGAGTTGCCTAGGCTAGCCTGGAACTAAGGCCTCCTGCATTAGCCTCCTAAGTAGCTTGAGCTGCAGGCATGTGCCACCACACCTGGCATGGAGTTTGCTTTTTTAGCTACTTAGACTTTGATGTCTTGCATGACAGTAATGCAGGAGGGAGGGCTGGCAGTTGTCGGGAGGTGGACCTGGGACGGCACGTGCAGAGGCCTTCTTGGGGAGGAGGAGAACGTGGGGCCTGGCGCTCGAGCTGTGAGCTGGAGGGGCCTGGCTGCTGAGCAGAGAGCCCTGTGTCCAGAGCCCGCGTCTCGGCCTGCTTTGTGGGGGCCCCGTTCCTCAGGGTCGCTCAGTGTGTTAAACTCCTCTCTTTCTTTTTGCAGGAGCGGCAGAATCGAAGCAAACAATAAGGACAAACCAGTTCCTTGCGTGGCTCACAGTTGGCTTTGAAAACAGAGTTTAAAACTATGCTTGGTGCTGTCTCTGGTGTCAGCTCCAGCGTGTCGCCCTGTGCGAGACTGAGTGTGCATCTTTATCTTCTTTATAGTTCATTTTTGCTGATGGATCTGTGTTCATTTGTATTTTTTCTATGTATTATAATATTGTAGAACTCACTAATAAAGGAATATTTTTTGTCAGCTTATCAGACTGACCTAATGCGAAATATAAATACCCTTAAAAACAAAATGAAAAATCTAATACATCCCAAAGATTTTTTTTTATTTTGGCAGAAACTATGTTCCTATTCTTATATTCAGTCATTTAATATTTCTATAGGCATCTTCTAAGTTTTCACCCCTTCACTGCTTTTTTGCAAACAGAACTCATGAGCTGTTTGTCATTTAGAGTATGCTGTTAAAATCTCCCCATAGCACTGAAATCAGAAGGTTAATGGTCGCCCTGTTTGGCTGTCACCATCTTTACTGTTCATGCTGTCTAAAATGCTAATTTGCCCATTTGGTTTTCTGCTAGGCAGAAAGCTAAACTGTAGTGTTTCAGGTGACTGCGGTTGTGGCCCTGGAAAGAGCCCGTCATGGTGGCCACCTGCCCGGCAGTTGCCTCGCCCTTGCTGCCCATGGTGTCACTGTACTGAGGACTTGGAAGGTGTTTGGGGGTCTGGTTCCGTGTGTGTGTTCTTAGTTGTTTGCAGGTCATTTTTAAATTTTGCCCCTTTCTTCACTCAATAACTCTAATGCTGGCTAAAGTTTTTATTAATAATGCTGAGCTTTAAATGTAAGTACAGTGTGATGGATGATGCTGCCAACTGAACTTCATGTGTGTGTCTGATTTTTTTTTTTTTTTTTTTTTTTTTTTTTTTTTTTCTAGTATTAGTCCTCTGTTGAGTAACAGCTGGCAAAAAATTTACCCCACACTG